TGGCACTGCCTCAGGCTTTGTCCTGGGAAGGGTGCCATTTAATATTCTTATTAATTATTTGGTGGAGGAAGTCAGGCTATAAATAGAGAAGTTCCTTGTTGAAATTTACTAAAGATAAATCACTAGAAACTGAAAGGGATCTAGAAGGTTTGGTTGGTTCTAGGAACCTTAAGCCATCAACATCATAAAAGGCAATAAAGATCAAAGTACAACTCCAAGGCCCTACAGAAGAGCCAAACCAATGCTATTCTTCTCATTTAAGCCTGTAGCAGTCAATGTATAGGTCATGCAGGTTAAATGAAAAGGAGAACCTATTAATGTCCTCATTTCTGGCTAGTGCAATGTCAAGATTGTAAATTGCAGTCACAGAAGGACAAGTATTATATAACCTCACTTATATGAAAAGACAAGAAAAGGTAAACTCATAGAGACCAAAGTTTATAAGTGGTTACCAGGGGCAGGAAGGAGGGGGGAATGGAGGGTTAATGGTGATGGAAAAATTGCATTGACTAAGCATAGGGCTGCACAGCCAGTTATTTCACTGCTGTCAATAAGGTGTACACCTGTAAAAAGTTGAACTGGCAAGGTTGTGTGACAGATGTATTTATAACAATAACAAAAAAAAAGGGGGAGAGACTGTGCGGCAGTTAAGGTTGGGTGTCAACTTGGCTGGACCTGGTTGAGTGGCTGGGTAGCACTGGATGTAGTATTCCCCATGATGAGACTAGTAATCAACTCCATGGTGGAATCTACTTTGAGCAGCTGAGTAGCTGCCTTAGGGACATGATCTGCCTCCAATATGCAAGAAGAAACTAAGGAAGGTCTCTAGCTTTTGGCATATTTGGATCCTGAATTTGGCCGAGTCTTCATCTCAATGGCTTGCCACAATGTCTGAGGACAGTGGGACTGTTAATGGACTTGAATTAGTGGCCTGTGTTGCCTGATAATTTTGGGACTGTGCCATTTTACTTGTTGACCTTGGGTTTGTCAGCCTCAGCAGTCAGCAGCCACCTGAGCTAAGTGGAGCAAGAGGCAGAGTTGAAGCCCAAGTTCAAGGGACTTTCACCCAGCCCGTAGAGCTGGCACTTTGAACTTGGAGTTCTAGTGTCCTAAACTGTAAGAGGATAAATCCTTGTTTGTTAAAAGCCACCCACTTGTGGTATGTCTGTTATAGCAGCACTAGAGGACCAAAACAGGCTGCTTATGTCCACAACCAACAATCTCATGGGATCTGGTTTCTTGGTCTGGAGGTTTAGGGTCATGGTTTCATGGGACATCCCAGTTAATTGCCCTAAGAATGTATTTGGTGCTTCTGTTCTACCTCTGGTTGGTTAAGTAGTGCCCGGGGTCTTAAAGTTTGCAAGTGGCCATGGAAGGCTTGACAATTGGTCTCTATTTACCTGGAGCAACAGAAGAAGCAGAGTCCGGAACAGCAGGACATGAAATGTGTGATTAACTGCCTCCATGAACAACCTCCTCCTTTGCCTTCTTTGCAAGAAGAATCAGTAGTAATGTTCACACTACTCTAGCTGGATATTAAAAGCAACAGCAAGTAATGAGCACATTGGGATTATAGTCCTTCATTTATTCACTACTGTACAGATAATGCCAAAGTGAGTGCTAGCCACTGGCCTCCTTTAAGAGGCCTGACACTGAACTCCACTCTGGGGTCATCATCCTCACATGCTTCTCCAATGTAATGGTGCCGTCTTTCCAGGTTTGGATCAAAGTCCACCAGTTCTACCTGATTGACTTCATCAGTCTCTTCTACTTCCTTCCTCTCAGGTAGAAGATTTTCCAGCAAAGAGAGTTTATCAGGGCAGAGAAAGCTATTCTCAGGAAAATTTACCTTAAACTTGTTGATTAGGTGCCCCTTTTCATATGGTCTATGATAAATCGTCATGTCTTTAGTTGGCACACACTTGATATTCTTCATGCTTGACAATCTGACCTGCATGAGAGGTGATGACTATGATTTGGTTGTCAAGAGTGGATAAGGATGGCTTTTGGAAGCCACACAATGCTTTATCCAACTGTTGTTCAAACACATGAAAAGGTCTTCTCCTCTAAGACCTCAGTATGGTCCTTCTGATCTATCTCCTGGTTCCAGTCCTGGTTCTTGGTCTCCTTCACCATGGAATGTTATCTTCTGCTATTTTTTGTACCTTTTTAAATATGAACTTCCAGAATCTTCTCTTGAACTCTCTTCCCTCCTTTGCAACTTTTAATCTGTCTTTAGGGCTGATCCATTCCCCCATGGTCCAGGCACTCCATGCACACAGACTTAATTTGCGGAACCATTCCAGGCCCTATCTGATGAATTCATATTTGCATTCCAGTACCTTTCTTACCACCTCAGCCTTCACATATCTAACATTTTGGCTACCATTACTGAACATTTTGATCAAAGAGTCTATAAAAGAATCTTGATCAAAAGGGAGGAAATGAAGAACAGAATTTCTAATTCTCATGTACTCCAGACTTTCTGAAGCCAAGGGGGCTGGGTAAACCTCTGAAATGACTGCCCTGAGATAATTTTTAAATCTTAAACCAAAAATACCCTCTAAAGAAAATAATTAGTTCAAAAGAACCTAGTTTCCATGACCCTGAGACCAGAAGAAGTAGATGGTGCCTGGCTATCCCTGTGAAAGGGATAGAGTGGGATCCATGGGTAGAGTGAGAAGAAATGTGGAACAAAACTCAAAATCATAAAAAAGATCAAGCTTCCAGGTCTGATGAAGACTGGTGGAACCCCTGAAACTATGGTCCTCAGACACCAGGCTAGGAAGTCAACTTAACCCCAGTGACTCAACTGGCAGCCAAATGATAGACAGACCTATAAGGTGAACAGTGATATCAGGGTGGCATGTGCTCATTAACAATTAAGCATTTAAAAAAAAAAAAAAAGTCTTCTTAAAACCAAACAGTAGTTTAGCTTAACTAGTAAAAATTGTCTGCCTTGAGGATTAAGAAATTTTAAGAGCAATTTATATGGGATCAAAGTGACAACAGCAACTCGGAAGATCAGATTGAACCTTAGTGGGCAGTGAGTTTATGTTAATAGGGGAGGAACAACTTAGAAAAGGAGGGAAGAATGGTTGCATAACTCAAAGAATACAGTCGGTGTCACTGTGCCCTTTTAAAGAATTATCTATATGAGATCAAAATGCCAACAGTGACTCTAAAGCACAGATGAGAAATTCAAGTATTAGGGAATCTTATTAACATGGTCAAAAATAAGGGCAGTATTTGTGAGAACAGTGATACAATATGGAGCATGTATCCAGTGTCTATGAAGTGTACATGTAAAAATTATTGAATGGGTATATGCTTTGCATATACTTTCACCAAAGGGGGGGAAACAAAAAAGAATACGCTCTGCCTGCCCAACCTTATTAAGTCCTGATTCTACCACTAACTAACTTTGCAATTAGGCAACTTTGTTGTATTTGTGCCTCCATTTGTTCCTCTGTAAAATGGGTAGGATAATAGTAAATAATAGGATTACTGTGATGATTAAATAACACATGTAAAGGACTTAGAAGAGAACATGACACATATTTAAGCATCTAATAAATGATAGCTAGAAATTGTTGTTATAGTAGTAGTACATTAAAGAATGAAACACTTAATAAATTATTGATATGCTAGTAAAGAATCCCTGCATGGAGCAAATGGGTAAGCCCTTGGCTACAAACTGAAAGGGTGAAAGTCAGAATCTACTTGAGGTGCCTTCGGAGAAAGGCCTGGTGATCCATTTTCAAAAGCTTACAGCCATTGAACACCCTATGAGCGTAGTTCTGTTCTGAAACACATGGGGTCACATGAGCTGGAATCAACACAATGCAATTGGTTTTATAGTAGTAAAACTATCCAGATAACCAGACAGGTCCTCGTGCTGGATTTTCCTTGAAACAATGGCAAACAGAACTTCTCCCAGATTTAAGCCTTCCACAATTAGATAAAATACAGGATGACCGCATAAGTTACAATTTCAGATAAACAAAGAGTAACTTTTAGTATAATTATGTCCCAAATATTGCATAATAGGAGAAAGCTGGTAAAGGTAGTATCTGGTACAGTAAGAGTTTGGTTTTGTTGTTTTCAGAAAAAGTCTGTGGACTTTACAAGCCACTCCTTCCTCTTTAAAGAACCTGCCCCTTCTTTATCTCCTCTCTGAAGCCTTCCTTACCATACATATACTCTTCTTAACGTCAATAAGTTTAAATGAAAATAATAACTCAAACTAGATATTGGAATGTTGTTGTTAGCTGCAGTTGAGTCACCACTGAATGGTACTGTCATTGTCAGCCCCTGACTTATGGTGACCACATGTGTTACAGAGTAGAACTGGCTCCATCCGGTTTGCTTGGCTGTAATCTTTATAGAAGCAGTTTGGCAGGCCTTTCTTATGCAGAGCTGCTGGATGGGTTCAAATTGCCAATTTTTAGATTAGCAGCTGATTGCGAAGTGCTTGTACCAGCCAGCCTCCTTAAATACAAAAATATACTCTGTATTTCATGTTGACTCTGCCCATCTGCTGACAGAGCCTCTGGTTAAAGGAGCCTACCTGGGCACTGTCCAAATTCCTGCAAATTAACCACTTAGCATGCCTTCAAAGTGTACATACTTCCCCTTTCCACCCAACTGGAAGTTAACAGAACAGACCACTAGGAAGTACCAGCTTTAACAAATTTGCTTTGAATACTTAACAATAGCTTAAAAAGGCACTGGCAAAATTTCCCATGTGAGCAGGAGTTTGTTTGGATTACATTAGAACTGGTGGTTTAAACACCCTAAAGGGTTTCTAAAGAAGAGTGAGCTCTTTGAAGACAGATTTGCATATCTGTAAATAGGCATGTTTCTATAGAGACAGTAACATTCTAGGCATTTAGGTTGTGAGTAAACAGATCTTCCTTTACAGGAAGTGGTCGTTTATACTCTCAGTTCTAACAGTCAGTAACCCAAGAACAACAAACTTGCGAGGACAGCCATCTTACCTCTCAGCATGGATTTGAGGTTCAGCTTGGTTTGGCGGTGCAGGTCCTCCACGCAGGGGGGTCTCGTGGAGGGAAGGAACACATTCTCCTGCTGGTGCCATGGGGCAGTGTAGTGGACTGTCCATCTGCTCTCCTCATCTAGGTTGGAAACCGCTGTAGAAAGAATAAATACAGGTGTCAGATTAAGTTCCACTGGCTCCAAATTTACTACATCAATGGTATCTTGGTGCCTAATATATCCATGGGTAAAGGCCAGCTAAAGGGGAACCCAAAAACCTCACATGGAGTTGGAACAGAGACCCTATAGGACAGACTCGAACTGCCCCATAGGGTTTCCAAAGCTAAATTTGTACAGAAGCAGACTGCCACATCTCTCTTCCACACTGCGCCTGGTGGGTTCAAACCAGCTCTAACCACTGATCTCTTGGTTTGCAGCTGAGTGCTTTAACCACTGCACCACCAGAGCTCCTAGCAAAGGGGAAAGGGAGCAAATCTGAATGAGATTGAATCTGAGAGTCCAAGGATCTTTCACATAGTATTTAGTCTCGAAAGGAAAAGTTGGAACTATGCCCATCACCCACTGCAATGTTTTGGTAAAGCTCTGCTCCGTTCACTGCTTCCCAGCATTCCAAGCCCTCCTCTAGCCCAGTGTTACACAATGACTGACAAACGTGACAGGACCACCAATTCCTACTTAACTCCACACAGCAAATAAACAGAAGCCAATCTTATAAGGCCACTGTATCAGTAGGTGTCAGATTATCCTGACAAATAAATTTCCTACCAAAAGGTTGAGACCAAATCTTTCCTCTCTAAAGCTTTATTTAAAAACATTACTGTTGTAAACACAACTAAATTTTTCTAAAATTAAGCATGAACATTCAATTCAATACATTTAAACAGCATAGCTAATTGAAATGGAAATCAATTTGTGCTATAAAATTTTCTCTGCATTTCTTGTTTTCATGAAATACTTTTATATTAGGAAATTTTTTTTAAAGAAAACATTCCAGTTCAATTGACTTTTCCCAACCAAATCCATTTCGATTTAATTTTTCCCAGCACAAAACAGACTAGAACATTACAGGGAAAAATGAGAGCTTGTGACCGTTTGTCTCTTTCATTTTTCCGGACAACACAACCTAAGTCGGGGCCCTAAGGGGAAACCAAATTGAAGCCGCCAACACCAGAACAAAGTCATCAACACTTTTTTAAAATATCGTCTATATGCTGGCACTGTAAGACGCTGTAATGGGCTAGAGAAGTAGAACAGAGGGGCCTATGCTAAGGCATCAACTTATGGAGACCAGTCGGAAAAGTCTCCAAAGCCAGTAGATACCAGAATTGTGAGTAAAAGGCAAGTTGTTCCTAATGCAGACCTATGCTAGAGAATTCACACTGGGCAAAAAAATTTCCATAATTAACATGTACCTGGAAACTAAACCATAAAACAGATTCTCCAGGTCAAGTGAGCAAAGAAGCCCAAACTACTGTATCTATGTGAACATATTTAAAATTAATTGAGTACACCCCATAACACAGCTATTGGGGCTACTACAAAAATCATGTTAATTAATGTGTGTAAAGCCCTAAGCTCATGAAATAACTCTTATAAAACTGTAGCAATAATGAAAACATCACGGACGGGGAACCGCACCTTTCTCAGCTCCTCTATGAAGCTGAACCACAGATTAGCTCTCACACCATCAACCATCTTTGTTGCAGCTTCTAAACTCTCCAACCTCTCAAGCTCTGTCTCCAAGTAATTCATTTCTTAAGTAATCCCACCTTCTTCATAAATTTCTAAATGGGGAAATAAACACTCAGAACTAAACATCCATGTAAAAACAGAATGTTCTATGTGCTTTCTGCTTTTTGTATTCGACAAAAGAAACATGTAAATCATGCACCTTGTGCTTCATGTAATCCCTCGTTGAACACATGCTTTACATGGTGAATGCAACTATCAATCTTAATACATAAACACCCACAAAGACCTGGCATGTCTCTTGTCTACGTACCTGGGAATATAGCAGAGTGCTGAACTCAAACTACATTCCCCAAAGAGTATCCAGGGTTCATTACAATGTTTTGTGCTGACATCCATTTGTTTTAAAGATTTAATTACCATTCTTCATAGTGGGAAAATATTGAGAACTGAAGTTCTTCCTATTTGCTAATTACAAATCAAATCCAAGTAATGGCATTCAAGTCGTGCAATGCCATCATCAGCCCAACTGTACAGGTACCAACTGGTTCCTATGAAAGAACAGTTGTCGCTTCCCTGGTGTAGCTGCCTCTCGCCAGGGCTGATTCTAATCAATCCATCCTGAGCCAGGCGTAGAGCAAGGGAGCTGCAGAAAAGGCACCCAGGGCGCAGTTCTTTGTTGCTCACTCCGAAGCTTCCCCTCCCAATGCCTCCAGCCATGCACATTTATCCCGTCTCAATCACTGGTCCAGAAGAGAAAATGAAATAAACCAGCAGCTACATAAAAACAAAGCCATGTATTTGCAGAAATTATATTTCAAAGGAAGGGAGAAGTACCTGGATTGAAGAAATTTAAACCATTAACAGGTGCACAACGAAGCCACACCACAAAGGCTCTGTGCTTGGCAACAATCGCTGATCAGTCTAGACAGTTTGTCATAGAGCTCTTTAAAAACAGCACAGAGCACAGGGAGTTTGAGAGGCTCATCCTTGCCAAAAAACACGAAACATATTACATAGAGGCTCCCTTCCTAAGCTGCATACTTAATGAAAATAAAAAAAAAAAAAAAAAATCAAGGAAAACAAATACAAAGTTTTTCCCACTTTTTGAAAGGACCTTTTTTTTTTTTTTTTGAGAAGCACAAAGAAGTGAATTCACTTAAAATCCCAACCATAAATAAAACATTCTAAGATCACATAACTGCCCTTGAGTTACAAAGGTGTGAGTTAAATGAACAATCCAGTACAGAATGGAGTTTAACTCCTACTAAACACTATGTCACTAACTCTACTTCCGTCACTCAAATGTTACAGTAGTACATAAAAAGACACACGGTGGACAGAGAGGAGAAAAGGAACTTACATTTCTTCTTAAAAAGTTTAATTAAAGACTTGATCTTTGCATTAATGAAGACCACCATTTCCAGAATGCCTGCATGGAGTGTAGAAGTTTAAATGCCATGAAAAGCCCAGCGCCAGCCCAGCAGGCAGGTGGTGAAAAGCTGCTGGCTTCTGCTCCAGTCTTCTGTCTCCCTCCAGCCTCCTATCCTTAGGCACTACCCAAGCTGTTGTAACTTTGAGGTTGAGTTTATTGTCAGGCAGACACAAACCATTAACCAACCTTGAACCTGAAAAGCTCCCAATGAAACCTAATCTTTCAGGGCAAGAGCAGCCAGTTGCAACATGCACCGGAAGAAAGAGAAAGCCAATCAGGGCTCTTATTTGCATGATGTTCACATCGGCTTTCTGCCTTGGTGCTCATTCATTCACTTTTCTCTCCAACAGGTTAGAAGTTTTTCCTCACTAGAGTCCACAGAACAGTGCAGATATTCCTCTATGGAAGTCAGGGGGAAGCAAACGCATTCCCCATGTTCACTGGGCCACTAGGAACATGCAGATCTTTTTACTGTAGCTGACAAGTTTATAAGCAATTCCATGTTGATTCTTCGACTCTCCAGTTAATTCAGGATATATGGACTTTGAACTGATTTAGGGAGGAAAAAAGAACCAAACTATTGTTTTTTACCACGCCCCCAAGCTCAGCCTCCCATACCATAGGACTGGTTTGTTGTTGTTGTTGTTATGTGCCGTCGAGTCGGCCCCGACTCATAGCGACCCCTCCTTGGGTTTCCGAGGCAGTATCACTACGGAAGTAGGATTGCCCAACCTTCCTTCCGAGGAGTGGCTGGTGGGTTTGAACCGCCAGCCTTCTGGTTAGCAGTCAAGTGCTTTAGCCACTATGCTACCAGAGCTCCTGGTTTACAAGCAGTAAAACTTCACAATAGAATCACCATGGAGCTGCAAATGATGAGTTCGTTTGCATTTTCCTGCAAATCAGGATACCCGTCTTCTCACCCATCTTTGCCAGTGATTGAGAGTCAGTATTGTAACTGTTCCTAAGTGTGATCTAATTTGCATCTAGCTGCCACACTTGTTAAAAGGAGGGAGAAAAAAAACCTTCCCAGTTCCAAATGAAAAATTCGATAAACCACACTAATTACTTTAATCTCCATCTTAAACTTAATTTAATCATCCAACTGTCTGGTTTTTAAAATGCCACAATGTCCTCTTCTCACACACACACACACACACACACACACACACACACACTCTTGGACAGGGGAGTAGTCACAATCATTCTTTGGGTTTGACTTCTGGTTCTTTTGCCCCTTTGCAATTACCACAGACAACTGGGAAACAAAAGACTTGGGGAAGATTCAGAAATGGAGATATTAGAAAGGCAAACTCCAGAGTAAAGGGACAGGAACAAAAAGAAAAAAAAAAAAAAAAACCTAGATCAGGAAATATTGTAAAAAGGAACAAAAGAAAAGAATGTTCCCCACATCTCACCCCAATTTCCCTTCATAGTAATTGACCATCTCTGGTGGCGTGGTGCTTAAAGCATCTGACTGCTAACCAGAAGGCTGGCAGTTCAAACCCAACAGCCACTCCTCAGAAGGAGGATTGGGCGTCTACTTCCATAATGATACCGTCACAGAAACCCAAGGAGGGGTAGCTATGAATCGGTTCCAACTTGACAGCAGTGAGTTTGGGTTTTTGAGTTTCATACAGCTTTCCACCAGACTTACAAATGAATGGAAAACATAATAATCCACTAATTAAAAACATTTAGTTTATAATAAAAACTCTTAGTCAAAGAATAACATTTATATAAAGGGTTTCCTCCAGGAAAAGCTTTGAAATGATTTCTCCTCAGATCTTTCTTTTAATTTTTGTTAACCCTAATAACTTATTTTTTGAAAAACAGCAATAAAAGCAAGCAAACAAAACAGTCAAAAACCTAAATGTGCAGAGAAATACTAAAAATCAGTGTAATAGAGTATTTCATTTTGAGCAGATACAATGTTAACCCGGCAGCACAGATTAGAAAGTACTGGGAAGGCTCTCTGAGGAGAGGGTAGTGAAAGCAGGTTCTACAGGCAGGTCTGGGCAGGGCAGTCTGCTGAAGGTCACTGTCAAAGAAGCCCAGTGCCTGAGGCAAAACTATCTCCTCTAAGCTGCTAACTACGCCCTTATTTGACGTGAAAGTAACCCTAGGAAAAGTTCCTTAAAGGCTCCAAGTTTAAAAGGACCCTGAGGTCTGGAATTGAACCCACAACTGTGGTTTCCAGCCAAACAAAGTACAGGCATGTGAGTTAAACATTTACCTCAAGTAGACACACGCCCTG